GAACTGGAATCTCTTTTCGTCCAGTGCCTTAGTAAACAAGTCAGCCAATTGAAGCTCTGAGCTTACAAAATACATATCAATATCTCCTTTCTCCACGTGGTCTTTGATGAAATGGTAGCACAGGTCAATGTGTTTGATGCGGGAGTGGTGAATAGGGTTGCTGGTGATGGCGATTGTGATTGCGATTGCGATTGTGAATCACTGTAGATCGGGATATGGCGGAATGTGTAACCGTAGTCTCTTAGCTGAGTCTTCATCCATAATATTTGTGAACAACAACTAGCAGCTGCGACGTATTCTGCCTCCGTTGTAGATGTTGACACACAGTTCTGTTTCTTGGAAGACCAGCAGACTAACTTGTCGCTCAAAAATTGAGCGCCTCCCGATGTGCTATTTCTATCCATTCTGCACCCCGCAAAATCAGCGTCTGAATATCCAACGAGGTCAAAACCTGAATGCCTGGGATACCAAAGGCCTAGGTGCACAGTGCCTTTCAGGTATCTTAAGATCCTTTTCACGCCCGTCAGATGAGATTCTTTCATGTTCGCTTGGAAACGAGCACACAAGCATGTGGAGAACATTATATCAGGCCTGCTAGACGTGAGGTAAAGCAAAGATCCAATGATTTCCCTGTAGGTGGTAGCATCTACTGGTTTCCCTGAGGGGTCAGAGTCCAGCTTGTTATTGGGTGACATAGGGGTTTTCATGGATGGTTTGACGTCAATATGAAATCTTTTCAACATGTTCAGAATGTACTTGGACTGATTGATAAAGATGTCATCTTGTAGCTGTCGGACTTGCAGGCATAGAAAGAAATTCAACTCTCCCATCATGCTCATTTCAAACTTGGTTCTTATCAAGTCTTCGAAATTTTTGCATAGGTGCGGATTTGAAGAGGCAAAGATAATAGCATCGACATAGATCTGAATCAATGTGATATCAGTCTTGTGCCACTTAATGAAGAGTGTCGTATCTATCTTTCCTTTTGAGAAGCCTGAATCAATCAGAAATTCAATCAGGGCATCATATCAGGCTCTCGGAGCCTGCTTCAATCCATAGAGTGCCTTCTTTAACTTGTACACGTAATCAGGGTATCTGGGATCTACAAATCCTTCGGGTTGAGCAACATAGACTTATTCTTCTAATACTCTGTTTAGAAAAGCTGTTTTCACATCCAATTGGAAGACGGTGAAATTCTTATGTGCCGCATATGCAAAAAAGAGGTGAATAGCTTCAACTCTTGCTACAGGTGCAAATGTCTCATCGTAGTCTATGCCCTCTTGCTGGTTGTACTCCTTTGCAACCAGTCTTGCCTTGTTTCGCACAACTATGCCCTCTTCGTCTCTCTTATTCTTGAACACCCATTTCATGCCAATAATGGTTTTCTTCTGAGGCTTAGGCACGAGTGTCCACACGTCTAGTCTTTCAAACTGATTGAGCTCATCTTGCATGGCAATCACCCAATTAGGATCAGTTAGTGCATCAGAAACCTTTGAAGGTTCGGATTGACTTAAGAAACAAGCAAAGAGGCATTCATTCACCGTAGCAGATGTCGTGCATACACCACGACTAGGATCACCGGTGATTTGTTCAACAGGATGTGTCTTCGTCCATTTCCTATCATGTGCCAGAGGGATTGGAGTTATGATTGGTTGATCCTGGTCTTCACAAGGAGTGGATGTTTCTTGAGTAGTTATGGTGTGCAGGGTAGATGATTCTGGGGTTGTTTCAAAGTAGTGATCCTCAACTTCTTCTTGATTGGATTGAGAAGTGGATGGCGTAGAGAGTACGTCATCTTGACGGGGTAGGAGCGGGATCGGAGTAGTGGGAGCAGGTTGTGGTGGAGGTGATAGAGTTTCAGAATGTGGATTCTCATAAAATTGTTGGAAGAGTGAATCGAGAATCACACGCTCAGATGCGGTTTGTTGTTCAGCTTCATCAGGTGTGTGTTGTGATTCAGAAGATATGAAGTCGGGTTTGAGGTGTTCTGTTGCAAAATCTGTCATTTCATAGAATGTTACATTCACACTCTCTATGGTGGTTCTTTTCTCTCTTAAATAAACTCTGTAAGCTTTTGACTGTAGAGAGTAGCCTATAAAAACACCTTCTCTGTCTTTGGGATCAAGCTTACTTATGTCAGTTCGGTCGTTCAGAACAAAACACTTGCAGCCAAATACCTTAAAGAAAGATATCTGGAGTTCTATTGAAAAGGATTTCGTATGGTGTCTTGTCAAATCGCTTGTGTATGGATGTTCTGTTTTGTGTGAAGCACGCAGTATTGATTGCTTTTGCCCACATGAAATGAGGCAGCTTAGACTGTATGAGCATGGTGTGTGCTGCTTCGACAAGAGTTTGATTCTTTCTTTCAACAACTCCATTTTGTTGGGAGTTTTGGCTGCTGAAAATTGTTGTGTGATACCTTGAGATTCATAGAAAGTTGTAAAGACCTGATTCTTGAACTCGGTACCATTATCTGTTCTGGTGATTCTGACACTCTTCTGCAACAGATTCTGAATGGTTCTGATGAAGGTGATTATGGTGTCTGCATCTTCGTCCTTTGTACGCAGGAATTTTGTCCACGTGTACCTAGAGAAATCATCAACGATGACAAATGTGTACTTGCGACCATTAATGCTTTGAACTATCATGGGTCCACACAAATCCATGTGAATCAGCTGTAGTGGATGTGGGAGGATGGAACGGGTTTATACTTGTGTGAGATTCTTGTCATTTTGCCCATTTTGCAGGCACTACAATGGTTTTCAACGGAAGACTTTAACAGCGAAAACCCTTTGACAAGTTTCTTGGAGGATAATATGGACAGGTTCTTGAAGTTCAGGTGGGAGAGACGCCTATGCCATAGATTGTTCTGTTCTGTAGAAGCTTGGACAGCAGACAGATAGAAGTGATGGATTGTACATTTTTCAGATCAATCGTGTACAAATTTGATGTCCTGGTACACATTAATAATGAGTTTCCAAGGCTGTCCATAACGCAGCATTGTTTGGCTATGAACTTTACTTCCATCCCACTATCACAAAATTGTCCTATACTCAGAATATTGTGTTTGAGCCCTTTGACATTTAAATAGGCTTGGACTCGGTGCGGGCCACCCGGCCCCGGAACCGGCCCGGCCTGCTACTGTGCCGGCCCGGCCCGCTACTGTGCCGGCCCGGCCCGAGAAACCGGGTCCGGTTCGGGCCTAGGCCCAGGGGGTCTACCGGTTTCGGGCACGGGTAAGGGAAAAGGGGAATCGACCCGGCCCGGCCGGGCCCGGTTCGGGCCTTTTTTTATTTTTTATTATTTTTTATTTTTTTGGTTTGGGTTGGGGTTAGTTGGGTTGGGCTGGGTATTTTCGAGGGGTTTGGGGGGTTGGGGGGATGGGGGTGGGGGTGAAATAAATAAGAATAAAAATAATGAACTGGAACCGGCCCGGCCCGGAACCGGTCAAGACCCGGGCCGGTCTCGAGCCTATGGATACGGAACCGGCGGCCCGGCAGGGCCTAGGCCCGGCCCGAGTCCAAGCCTACATTTAAAGCAGCTTAAGAGCAGTTTTTAGTCCTAAAGACTGTTAGAATGTTTGTCTGGTAAGATACACATGGGGATTTGGTTCTGAATCGATCAATCGGTATTCTCCATGCTCAGATCTCAAGTTTCTACCTAGGGATGGATTCGGTTCGGGCCACCCGGCCCGTGACCCGGCCCGGCCCGGTACTGTGCGGGCCCGGGACCGGCCCGGGACCGGGTATGGGCCCGAACCGGTGGGAAGGGGCGGGGCGGGCTCGGTTCAGCATTATTGTGACCCGGCCCGGCCGGGTCGGGCCCGGGTCCGGTTCAATTTTAAAAAAAAAATGGTTTGGGCTCCTACTAGCCGTTGGGGGTGGGGTGGGGACAACCCAAACGGCTATATAGCCGTTGGGTGGGGTAAAGGGGGGTTCGGGGGGGGTTGGGTGGTGGGAGGGTGGTGGGGGGGTGGGGGGTAAAAAAAACCTATAAATACTCCTAATCTTAAACATTTTTTCATATCTCTTCTCCAATTCTTCCTAAATCCTATGCTTATCTCTCTATTCTCTAATTCTCTTATTCTCCAATATATTATATATCTACTCTCATTCTCTTCTCCAAGAAGTTAAGATGGAAAATCAAAATGCCATTATACGGTATAATTTTGATAAGCAGAAGGACCCGAAGACCGGGATGTGGTACGCAATTTGCAAATGGTGCGAAAAAAATGTATCATGGGGGCTTCAGGCGGATTCGGGATGGCAATCAAGCATATGAAGTCATGTGACAAAGCCAAAGGATCAGGAGGTGCAGGAAGTTCCGATTGATTACAATTTTCAAAATGTTTATCTCTTAAAGTTTGTTTTAATTTTCAAATGTAGTTCCTATTTCATTTCAAATAAATGCAATTGAAGTTTGTTTTTAATACTCGTATAAAACTATAAACTATAAAATATAAATTATAAAAAAAAAATTAACCAGCCCGGCCCGAACCGGACCCGACCCGTGACCCGGGCGGGTGGCCCGGCCCGAACCAGACCTGTCCAACCCGCGGGCCGGTCCCGGGCCCACTTTTCTTGAACCGGCGGCCCGACCGGGCCTAGGCCCGACCCGGGCCCGACCGGGCCTAGGCCCGACCCGGGCCCGACCCGAATCCATCCCTATTTCTACCTGGCTTGCTGTGCTGCATCCATCCTCCATCTTGAAGGGATGGCTCAATAATGTAAACACCAACTATTTATTCACTTGTGCATTTCCTCAATTTCATAGGTCTTACGATGGGATAGACATGTATGGATGGATATGCTTTATGGACTACTGTTAAGATCAATGTATAGAAACCACAATTATAAGAATAGTAATAACAATTTCATTCATTTAATAATATAAACTGTAAGAAAAGCTACACGTTCATCAGTCATCACCATGCATAAGCAACAATCTAAAAGATGACATACACAGGACCTCAAATAATGATTTCTTTTTTGGAATGCAAGCACTGGTTTTTAATCATCTTTCTTTGTTCAAAAACTTTGCAGGGGGGGCACAATTTATTATGTTAAAAACAAAGTGGTTCTTTCTACAACAATCTTCATACACGAAATCAATATGATGAATAAAGCTGCAGACGTCAGTCATGTTGAAATATGAAAAACACAGCTCTCCAAGCTCTTCCTACACGGCTTTGTGAATCCCTCAGAAATCAACACACAGTACAATAGATTCAACCAACACTGCAGTAGCGCCCCTTTTCCCTTGTCCTTAATATTGCTTGTTCATAATGTCAACCTAATATATGGCAAACGAACATGTCATACTATCATATATGGCAACAAAATATGTCTGTGTGTAATAGATATCTATATATATATATATACACACACACACACATATATATATATATATATAGAGAGAGAGAGAGTTGTATATGTCAACAGAAAGAAAAGGTTATCTTTATTACTGACATATATATACTGAACAGGTGCCATATTACTCTGGCATTTAATGCCTAAAGTATATGCTTTTCTTCTTTCTGTGATTAACTTAATTATTACTCATAAGAATAATTAATATCAGTCGTAGAATACAGAGTAGGAACTGCGCTCAGTATATAATATACACCTGAGTCCTGACCTGAGCATATATCACAAGAACTAAGGTAAATTTATGTTTGTTAGAATATTTCTCCAATCTCCATCTACGGACTTGCAGGCCGGATGAAAAAAGTTCAAGAATATGGATTCCTTAGTCTACGTGTCAATTAATTAACACAAAGTAGGTGTGTTGAAGACTTCAGACTATCACATAAATAGGGACAAAGTATGTCTTTCTAATTTAATTTGTATAATAACACCATATAGAACGTAAAAGAACAAAAAATGATAACATCATCATCATTACCCCAGTGCCGCAAAGGCTTCCACAATCCCACCTAAGGTGGGGTAAGGAGGGTCGGATGTACGCAGACACGCAGTATTACCCTTGTACTAAAGCACAAAGAGATAGTTTCCGGGAAAAAAATGATAAACATCAAATAATCAAATTAGAGGGCGGATGAAATGGCCGAATAACGAATGAGGTGGTCTAGTTGGCAAAGGTGTGTGCCTGGAAATAGCATTCCAATCAGGGTTCACCCCCTCCCCCATCACATGCATCCAAAATCATACAACACCATAGCAGGTAATAGCCCATGGACAATGGCAATTGTCACTAGCAATGAGAACAACTTTAACCATAACCACAACTTATAATGGAAACTTTAAATCTAGACCCTTCATTTTTTAGTCAATGGCTCACATTCATATAGTGGCATTTTCGTAACTATTTCTAAATTCATAGGAAGTTTGTTTGCAATTATTCTAAAATAACTACAAGGTAAATGGATAAAGGAATACATAAACAAGGTTAATAAATGATAGGTGAGGACATTGTTCTAAAAATCAGCCTAGTTGGTCCGATTAATCGGCCCCTAGGCGCTAAGCATTACATAACTGTGGATGACTAATCGGCCAAAAAAACAGCCTAGTCAGCCCCTAGTTGATGTCTAGACACTAGGTGCCCCTCATCCGTCCGACTAGCGCCTAGCGAGTAATAGAACACTGGATGGGGATTGAATGTTCACATTTATGAAAATGTGCTTTATGATAACATCATAACAAGTGTTCTCATAAGAACCACTCGCCCAGATTCCCTAGAAGTGGTGGCACAGTGAGTGGAGCATAGAACCTAACCACAAGTTCACAAGTTTGATTGTAATCAACAGTTCAACACTTTCCACACTAGAAGTATTGAACAAGAACCTACAACTATACAGCATTTTTTAAGATCCATCATTTATCAGTCCTGAATTGCAGTATTGCAGAGCGGAGGTCAAGGTTGGCGCTACCAGAGTAGTACCTGTAGCGTCGCATTTGGGTGTAGCGGATATAGCGGCCGCAATAGCGGGCACGCTATTCCGGTGAAGGCGGACGCTATAGCGGCGCAATTGATCGAATGGAAGTATCTGCGTATTATCTGCGTACTCCGTATTATTTACTTACTGCTGAGGTAGAAGGGTAAATTTGTCTTCTAAAATAAGATATTATACACTTAAAACCCTTCTATACGTTCGTAGAAGTGCAAACACATATATTTCTGCTCTGCGTATCTCATTCTTTCTGCTCTGCGATGATATCTTTCTGCTCTGCGATGACATCTCCTTCAAGAACGACAGCCTTTGCACTCCTCTTCGCTTCTTTCCACTGGTAGAATCTGCTGCTTCATCTTCTTGAGTTCTTTCATTCTTCTAATTCTGTTGCAACAACTTTTACAAGAAGATCAACCTTTGCTGCAGTCTTCCTTTCTTCTGCTCACTATTCATCTTGTACAACAAAGTTCTTTATCATCTCGTATGGAGTCTACTGTCATTAATAGCATCTTATGTTTTGCTCATGAAACTGAAGAGTATTTCTAAGTAATTTAGGATTTATGAATGTGATGTTTTCAACCTTCATTGACATATATAATACTTTTTGAATTCAAAATGTGTATGTAATGTATTATATGGAGTATATGCTTCCAGTAGTTACTTATCTATTATATTGAAAGTAGTCCAAATAGCGGTCATCCCGCTATCCGCTATACCGCTTTAGCGTTTTTAGGGCTCGCCGCTACGCTCCGCTATCCGGGATTGAGTTACCTATTCATTTTTTGAATGTGTTGCAGATGAATCATTTGTATCACCCTGACCATCCTGCCTCAGGCTGACACTACTAGCCTTGGCATCTGCAAGGAATTTAGGATCCGGTTCATGCTTCTCTGAGCTTTCTCTCATTGCCATGTAAATGTAAAATGCTATAACAACGTTGACGGAAATGACAGCTAGAAACCCACTGAGCAGTGTTACAGAGTATGGAGAGAAGTCAGTCATACCTGTTCCATATGAAACAAAAACCGAGCTGATGCCACAATGACCAAAGACGGCTCTCATTGGGTTTTTAAAAAATTAAAAGTAATGCAAAGCTATAATCTATATTTTCCAAACTAATAAATTAAATCTAAATAGAATCTATTTATAATGGCCTACAGCATAAATATGAAGAAAGCTTACCAGGAAATAAATTATGATTGAAACCATAAAGAATTGCAATAGGAACTGCCCACATAAACAAAGATGCGATAAAGAAATTTGTTATGACTCCTGCCATGTTACCTTCAGCCTGCAAATAAATGTAAGTGTTTCTTATCAACTTTAATTGGTCAGGCTACGCAAGAGTTTCTATTGAGCAAGAGAAAATAATGCATACAATGTCATGATCCCTATGGTGTAACACTGAGGAAAGAAAAGAGAAAAATGCCATGGATAAAGAATATGGTGTCAGATACAAAAACACGGTGCTCTATATGGGAGCGTTAGAGTATGAGCAGAAGTTACTCATGCATACGATGAACATTGTATCATTGCATGTATTACTTGTGTGATATCCCACTAATTTTCCTTTTTTATCCGCGTCTTACCATATTTGGTGTTACTTGTGTGATTCTCATTCATTCTTATTTTATGATTTATTAATATTTTATCAATTCAATATCAACCACATAATTTCACCTTTCTTAAAAATCACGACACCTTTTCATAATTTCAGTATTATTTTCTTATGTATCTTATAAAGTCTCAGACTCGCAGCACTTACTCAAACAATTGTAAGTCTTTGAATATAATGATTTCATTGAAAAGGGAGATTCATTGATTTCTGATATTGTAAAAAAGCACGCACGCAGAGTTAACACCAAAAAATAGAACAATTCCTGAATCGATTTTTCCCTGATGCTTCTGGCCGAGTGGCTACTTCTAACTCAACAAAAATTATGAAAAGCAATACTCTATATCTACCACAACAACAACAACATCCAAGCCTTAGTCCCAAAAGATATTGGGGTAAGCTAACATGAATCGATACATGATATCACAACCAAAAGGAAAAGAAAGAAAATAAAGATAAAAAAGATAAGCTATTATAAAAAGATAATATAAAAAGAGATAAATATACATACAACAACAACATCCAAGCCTTAGTCCCAAAAGATATTGGGGTCGGCTAACATGAATCGATACATGATATCACAACCAAAAGGAAAAGAAACAAAATAAAGATAAAAAAGATAACCTATTATAAAAAATATAAAAAGAGATGAATATACATAAAAATGATAAAATAAAAAGGCTACAAATAATGCTTATATATATAAGGATAAAAACCAAGGAAAAAAAGATGAAGGAAAAAGATTATATGAGATCACTCCTTCACGCGAATACCCGCCCTCCACTTAGTTTTCTCCAAAGTCATGCCCTCATCCAACCCCAGAAGAAGCATATCACTTCGAACTCCCCTAACCCACGTCTGTTTGGGTCTTCCTCTCCCTCTCTTCCCTGCCTCTTCTCCACACATCTCAACTCACCTGACAGGTGCATCACTCGGTCTTCTACGCACATGACCAAACCACCGTAGGCGCGACTTCCGCATCTTGTCTTCAATAGGTGCTACTCCCACCCTTTGTCTGATTGTCTCATTCCTCACGCGATCTTTCCTAGTATGCCCACACATCCAACGCAGCATGCGCATCTCTGCCACACTCATCTTTTGAATGTGACATTGTTTCACCGCCCAACACTCTACGCCATACAGTAATGCAGGCCTAATTGCTGTCCTATAAAATTTACCCTTCAATCTAGTCGGAATACCTCTGTCGCATAGAAATCCTGACGCACTCTTCCACTTCATCCACCCTGTTCTAATTCTATGGAATACATCTCCATCTAACTCACTGTCCTTCTGAATTATGGAGCCCAAGTAACGGAACATATCGCTGACTGGTATCTCCTTACCATCCAGAGTAATTCCGCTATTACCACTGCTTCTACCTCCACCAAACTTGCACTCCATGTACTCTGTCTTGCTCCGACTTAGTTTGAAACCCTTATTCTCCAATGTTTGTCGCCATACTTCCAACTTTGCTTTAAGACCTGATTGCGTCTCATCAATCAATACAATATCGTCGGCAAACATCATGCACCACGGTACATCGTCTTGAATTGACTTCGTAAGTTCATCCATGACTATGGCAAATAAGAAAGGGCTCAAGGCCGATCCTTGGTGCACTCCGATAGTAATAGGTAACTCTTCATTCCTCCCTACACTAGTACGGACACTTATAGTACAATCCTCATACATATCCATGATGATGCTGATATACTTGCGTGATATGCCTTTCCTAGTTAAGGTCCACCAAAGAACTTCTCGAGGTACCCTATCATATGTCTTTTCTAAGTCAATGAACACCAAATGCAGATCCTTATGAGCGTCTCTATACTTCTCTATAAGTTGCTGAAGAAGGTGAATGGCCTCGGTTGTTGAGCGACAAGGCATAAAACCGAATAGATTCTCTGAAATCTTCACAGTTCTTCGAAGTCTTTGCTCAATCACTCGCTCCCAAAGTTTCATGGTGTGACTCATAAGCTTAATCCCTCGATAGTTGGCACATTCTTGTACATCACCTTTATTCTTAAATAAGGGGATAAGAGTACTCTTCCTCCAACTCGTTGGCATCTTGTTGTTTCTCCAAATCATGTTGAAGAAACTTGTTAACCACTCGACACTTCTCTCTCCCAAACTTCTCCAAGCCTCGATCGATATGCCATCTGGCCCCATTGCTTTCTTCCGTGCCATCTTCCTCAGAGCTTCTTTAACTTCCGTTGTTTGGATCCTTCTCACAAAATCACGATATACCATACAATCTGGTATGGACAAATCACCGATATCTTGCGTTTTGTTCTCGCTGAATAGTGTATCAAAGTATGACCTCCACCTCTCTTTTATCTCTCTGTCGTCCATTAATATCCTTTGATCGACATCCTTCACACACTTAACTTTTGAAATATCTTGAGTCCTGCGATCACGAAGACGAGCAAGTCTATAAATATCTAGTTCTCCTTCCTTAGAGTCCAACTTTTCATACAACTCCTTGTTCACTTTCCCTCGTGCTTCCTTTACGGCTTTCTTTGCTTGTCTTTTAGCCTCCTTGTATGCTTCTATGTTCTCATCACTCCAACTTGTCCCCAACTTTTTGTAGCAATCTCTTTTGTTCTTTATGGCTTGTTTCACCTCATCACTCCACCAAGATGTGTCCTTTTTAGGTGGCAGACATCCTTTAGATTCTACAAGTACCTTCTTTGCCACTTTGTTAATGGTCAATTCCATTGATAACCACACAACATCCACATGTGTTTCATTATCAATACGCCATACATCTTCACCGACCATTTTGTGTGTAAAACTTTGTTGAAGATCTCCCTCAAGCCTCCACCACTTTATCTTTGGCTCCACTTGTTGTTTAACTTGTCTTCTATGGTTTTTACCTCGAAAGTCAAGCACAAGCATCCTATGCTGAGTGACAACACTCTCACCTGGAATAACCTTACAATCAATGTAGCTAGTTCTCCAAGCGGTCCGTACTAAGAAGTAGTCAATTTGGGTACTATTAGCTCCACTTTTATAGGTTACAAGGTGAGAGTCTCTTTTCTTAAACCAAGTGTTCATTATAGCCAACTCATACGTCAAGGCAAAATCCAAAATGTTCTTTCCCGCCTCATTCCTAGTGCCAAAACCATGTCCGCCATGAATACTCTCAAAGCCATCACGACTCGAGCCCACATGCCCGTTGAGGTCACCTCCTATGATCAACTTCTCTCCCCTTGGCACTCGTCGCACCACGTCTTCAACATCTTCCTAGAACTGTTGAGTTGTAGATGCATCCAATCCCACTTGTGGTGCATAGGCACTTACCACAGACACAATCTCACCCCTTATCACCAATTTAATGCTCATGATGCGATCGTTCTTCCTGAAGACTTCTACCACATCCTCAACATAGTCACGCGCCACAATAATGCCTACCCCATTTCTGGTCTTATCTCTCCCCGAGGTTAATCTCGCGTGCTTTCTCTCCAACCCATTTAGTTTCTTGCACACACATAATGCTGATATTCCTTCTCCTCAAGAGACCCAACATTCCATGTCCCAAAACGCAATCTATCACTCCACTTTCTGTTCTTAGCCCCATCTCGGACCCCACCATGCCCTTGCATATTTGACATCATCCTCGGGCAATGGGATGACGCGCCGCTTCCGGCCAGCGACCTAGCAACCTTAGCATTCTTATCACCACACCCAGGTCTATGAAGTGTAGCGCGCCCTTGCATATTTGACACCACCCCCAGGCGGAGGGATGACGCGTCACTTACGGGTGACGACCTAGCAATAGCGATATTCATATTTCGATTCATGTCATGTGATGTGACTAGGTGATACTGTTGGTCGTCACACGCCTACCACAGCACCCTCCTCCTTTATCCTGGCTTGGGACAAGCAATACTCTATATCTAAAATGGAGAAATCCATATTTAACAGGTCATACGCCAAAGAATGATGGAGATTATCATGACATTCGGGCTAGAAACAAAATATGATTGGATTACATGTTTGAAGAAACAATGATACACTTGAGGAATTGAATTATTGAAGAGACTATGTACTCGACTAGGAACGGGTACTAGACTACTAGTCATCCTCGTTATCTCTGAATTTTAAGGAAACATTGGTTCTTTTTAACAGCTATTTGAATGTTTTTTGATTTGGACCTCAAGTGGTTAACACTAATGTACTAATGTGATATACACACAGAGAGCCACACACACATCTCAGTACATTCAAATAAGGAACAGTCAAATTTAATTCCTTAGATTGTTGTCACACCCAGGGGCGGATCTAGTTTTGGCCGTCAGGTGGGGCCTAAATTTAACTAACGCATATTGCACAAAAAAAATCAAAATGTAATATCATAATGTCTATTTCACAAATTTTATTTCCAAGTATAAAATAACATCCATTGTAACAAATAATCAAAGACAAAAGTAAATATTTTAGGATTAAGAGTTTTCATTAAAGTCAAATACAAAAAAATCACAATTTTACAACTGTTATCTACGAGTTTTCATTGACAAATATCATTTGGTAATGAGATCATTGTCAACTTTTAATAAGATGTCTTTCTTTACATAAAAAATAAGTCTACAATTGAGTCGGTCAGCACTCATCTGACTGCTCAAACTATCCTTCACGATATTTATTGTTGAAAATACTCTTTTAACACTAGCGATTAAACCGGGAAGAATCAATGCCAAGGTCAAAAATCACATTCATAATAAATTCATGCTAAATGTTAAAACTAGTGAGTGGCTCACTCAAATAATCAAATGACTCAAATTGAATATAATTCGCCCAAATATGCGGCACGGCTAAACAAACTTGGTAAAGTAGCAGTTAGCAGAATTACAAGAACAAAAAACAAACTTACCAGTGAGACGGCCAGGCGAGGAAGAGTGAAAATGGCTCGCAGAGAACTGGAGCAGTCGAGCTCTAGAGAGATGAGAGGCGAGAGTGATAAGCGCCAAGAGGCTACTGAGCTAGAAGCTAAGCCGACAGCCTTGTCGTCGTGTGCCGACAGTCTGACGGGAGAAGGCCGAACGGCCAGGCGAGGAAGAGCGAAAATGGCTCGCAGAGCACTGGAGCAGTCGAGCTCTAGAGAGATGAGAGGCGAGAGTGATAAGCGCCAAGAGGCTACTGAGCTGGAGGCTAAGCCGACAGCCTTGCCGTCGTGTGCCGACAGTCTGACGGGAGAAGGCCGAACAGACCACTGACTGGCCAGGGGCGGAGCCAGATAGTTACAATGGGGTGGGCTGAGAAAATAATTTGAAAGACACATACATAATAATACGTCCAGTCGTCAACACTTTAAATATTAATCAAAGCATCATTTCAGTTGTGCCGTACGCGACTTTAAAGTATAAAATTGATCAATAATAGAATTTACATCTATATTATTGAAAAAATCTCGTTCAATGTAGATCATTAATGAATCTTCAAGAAAATTATCTCCCATTTTGTTACGAAGTGTCATCTTCACATGGGTCATTGTTGAAAATGCTCTTTCCATAGTAGTGGTGGAAACAGGTAGGGTCAAAAGAAGACGAATTAATCATGTCATCATAACATAAATTTTTTATTTCCCGCTCTCCGTAAAATATTGACATAACTCAACAAGTGTCAAAACTTGAGATGTTGAAACAATATTAAGTTTGTAGTGGATCAACTCAAACTCAAGTATGACAATGTATTGATTCAAAACTTTTGTGCAAGTTTACAAATATCCTCACTGTCATAGATTCAAAACTCCGTTCACCACTTTGACGATTCACTTTCGAAAAGAATGACGAAATCAACTTCTTTTCTTTCTTGGCAATGTGTTCATTATCTATTCTAAAAAACATTTTCAATATTCGTATAAATTAAAATACTTCTATAAAATTATAAAACTAATAAGGAAAAAACAATCGTTGTACATAAAACTAATAAATATTCTCAATTTCAAAATTCAATTGAAGTTAAAATTCTTTCCACGCAATAAATAAATCATTCTCTAATCTTCAATTGTATAATAAATAAATCATTTTCTAATGTTTAATTCTATCTTTAATCATTATGAATTTATAATTTATAAACTTATACTCCGTAATAAGTTAAACACTATTTTATTATGCACTGAAAAATTCAATTAGTAATCAAATTGCTTAACTAACGGACTAACCCTAACACTAAAAGGCTAAAAATAATAATACACAATAACACAATCACAATTTATTAGATTAAAAATCTAAAAAACTTACCTGGAGCAGACGAGCAGTGGAGCTGGAGGCACTGAGGCAGAGCCCAGAGCCGGAGTCCAGAGAGGAAGCCGGAAGGACGGCCAATGACGCAGGTCGCAGGGCCCTAGACGAGCGGCGTGGATGGCGGTGGCTTGGTGTTCCCTTCTTCGTCGCAACTGGCAAGCGCTGAAGCTCCGTCTTCTAGGCTTCGATTTTTTTGCTTCCCAATCGGCCAGTTCGCAAGCGCAGAACGCAGGTAACTTCAATTAGCGAATTAATTTTGGGGCTGGATGGAAATAAATTTTGGGTGGGCTGATTCTTTTACCAGCTGTGATTCATTTTTGGCCCGGAGGGTGACTTCATTTACGATGCGAAATTCATATCAATAATTCATACTTTTAGTAATTCTATAATACTCGTAATAATTTCTACGGAAGATGACTATATAAATAATCCATACTCATAAACACATCTACATAGATAGATTAGATAATCTTTTTGATATTTAATATATAAGGTTACAGTATTGACTTTGTTCTTCAATTTCATAAATTTGAGTATAGTGTATTTATATCATTACCATAATTATTTTCTTGAAAGATAATAATCTATCTATGAAGGTTTAAACTATCTATGTAGACACATTTACGAGTTTGGATTATTTGTATTGACTTTTTCAATAGAGATTATTATTATAGAATCACCAAAAGTACTAATTATTGGTATGAATTTCACCGATTTACTATACCTATACTAATTATTAAAAAAAGATGTTGGACTGGGCTAGAGGCCTAGAGCCCATCCCCGCCCTCACAATCATCTGCCCCTGTGAATGGCGAAGTAGCGAAGAAGTCGAAGAGTAGGGATTTGGGTTTTTTGCCGAATAGCGAAGAGTCGATCGATCAACAGCCTATGCGCCCTGCGCCCTTCGGCTCCTTGTTGATTTGGAAACTTGGGCCATGTTTATTTTGGGCTTGGCTGATTGGGAGATTGAATTCCGGAAAGACAGATTACAAGTTAACTCTATTAGGTATATTAAGTCTTTTTTGTTCTTTTGAGGATGTGCATGATTTTTATACCCACTCATGGAGTATATGGGTCTAGGCCCCAGGACCCACATACTCAGAAGAACAGAAAGTACAAGCCACTGGGCAGTGCCCTCGTCGGCCAAAGGGCCCCCGTCGGCCGAAGAGGGACCAACTCAGAATATGATCCTGAAGCCAGGGAACCAGGGTGTCCTCATCGGTCGTGCCCTCGTCGGTCAGCCCCTCGTCGGCAATGGAAGCCTCACAGAACTAGATTTTACACTTAATCACTTCTACAAACATTGTATTCGGCCCAATAGCGGTCCAATTGTAAATGGGCCTCCCAAGCCCAAGACTTGGGAGCCCAGTCCGTATTTTTCCTATAAATACTTCCTCTGGAGGTAGTTGTAGGGGTTACAAAATCATTCTATTGGAGCATTTACTTGCACTTCTCTCTCTAGCTCTCACTTCTCTCTAGATATATACTCTATCATTTGGTGCTCTCGTTGAGAGCTAGAACAATCAAGTTAGCACCCTTCGTCGCTACCAAGCACAGCTAACCACTGATCATGGGGAGAACCAAGTCAAACTGCAACCTCGTCAACAAGGCCATCCCTGAGGATCAGGAGACCAGGGAGCGTGAGGAGGACGCCACGGCCGACCAGGTCAGAGGAGGGGACGTCTTCGAGGAGGCCATCAACCTCACAACGGACCTACGCAACCAACTCAACAGCGGCGCCCACGATGCCCGCATCGGCCTGGACAAGAAGCGTGCAGAGAAGACAGACCACGCCCCGGCCCAGCCTATGGTCGCAGCTTCCCCGTCTGTGGATCCACAGGTTCAGGCCGCATTGTCAGTCATCATCGCCAGCCTGGCCCAGAACCCCACCGTCCTCAGCGCACTCTTGCCAAGGACTGGGGGGAACGTCACCCCACCTCCTCAGCCCCAACCGTTGGCCACCAGGTTAGGCAACGATGAGGGGATGATAGCCCAGTACACGGCGTCATCCCACTCCCACCCCGCTTCCCCTCTTCGGCCGGGGCAGACCCCAGCGCGTGGAAAAGCCTCTGCCTTCAATAGGCTAGGTGACACGCGCCGTCGTCCGGTTTTGGAGAGGATGGCGGGGCAGATTGGTGAGCGTCGGTCTGGCTCGCCAAGGGAAAGCTTGGGGTCTGTGTCCCGAACAGCGGACCAGCCCCGCCTGGACAAGGGCAAAGGAAAGTTGCACGAGGACGACGTGCGCCACCAGATCAACGCGGCCCACGAGGGGCGCATGCAGAACCAGCAGGGCACCGCTGCAGCCGCCAGGGATCCTCGGGACGAGGTCATCGCCCAGCTGGAAAGGAGGCTGGCCCAGATGGAGGTCAGGCAATCGGCTAACATCCCCACGGCCGGCGCCTCCAACGATCCTGGCCTCAACGCTCTCATGAACAAGGTCAGCGCCCTTGAGAGGGAGTTGGCCGAAGGGCGAGGTGACCCCGTCATCTAGGTCAGGACCAGGACCCCTTTCACTAACAGGGTGCTCTCGGCCCCCATCCCGGAGAAGTACAGGGGAAACGCCATCAAGTCCTACGACGGCCGATCAGACCCCAGGAGCACTTCAGCCGCTATCAGAACAACATGCTGATGGTGAACGCGTCGGATGAATATCTCTGCCGTTGGTTCCTCTCCGCTCTTGAGGGGCCGGCGTACGAGTGGTTCAACGCGCTCCCCGAAGGAAGTATAGACTCATGGCAGGACCTTGCCCAGCGCTTCGTCACCCACTTTGCCGGGAGGAAGCGTGCGAAGAAGTATTTCACCCATCTCCTCTCCGTCAAGCAGCAACATGACGAGCCCCTCCGGTCATTCATTGATCGGTGGACGAGGGAGACCGAAGAGGTCGAGGGGGCCGATGAGCGCACCCTCCTCGTCCTATACCAGGGAGCCCTCCGCAGCTCCCCGTATGCCAGGAGCCTCATCACCGACCCTCCGAGGTCATATACAAAGATGCTTCAGCGCGGGAGCTTGTACGCTGATGCCGACGAGCTCCACAACCACAAAAAAGATGGAGGCCATCCCTCCAAGAAGACAAATCCTTCGCCGGCCCCGGGAGCATCCCAGGCCCATCACGGCTCTGGTGGACAAAGCAAGAAAGACCGCCATTGGCGACCGAGGTTGGAACGGTCGGGGGTCCCCCTCACCCACCCGGTCAGCACCATCCTCGACTATGCCGAGAAACATGACCTCATTGAACAAGCTCCTCGGCCGGCGGAGGAGGTCCTTGCCATCCAGCAAGGCGGCACATACTGCCGATCTCACAAGAACTCCTCACACAACACCGACGACTGCATTACGCTGAAGAAAGCCATCGAGCGCCTTATTCGTCAAGGGGAACTCTCCCAATTTGTTAAAGGTGGCCCGCGCAAAAATACGTGGGTAAACACCGGCAAACCTGGGGGCGAACCCTCTAAGAAGAAGCGGGAGATCGGTAGGCTCAGCAACGACGAAGATTTTGAGGAGCCTCTGCCAAAGAAGAACCATATTCACCTCATCGTAGGTGGGAATACCGGGGGGACTCCGTCATCCAGAGGAAGAAATGGGCCCAATCCCTTTACGTTGGGGAGGTGTCCCACGTTCCCCCCAGCCGAAGAAGCAGCGAACGGAGGTGATCACCTTCACCGACAAGGATCTGCCTCCGGGTACATCGTCAGTGCCGTGGTGAAACCCGGCACCTACAAGCTTAAACGCCCAAATGGGACCAATGTACCACGAACGTGGAATGTACACCATCTGGTTAAGTTTTATCAATAATCCGAAGGAGGTGCAGTCGGTGAAGCCCTCACCCCTTGACGGGTCATTGATTGAACACCACCCTCGGCCTTGAGCCACTTATGAATAAAAATCATGTTTCCTTTGATTTCTTGGAATTCGAGTAACACATTAATGGGCGCCCTCATCGGCCACCTTAGAGCGAAAGGCTCAGGCATGGCCGATGTGGCGCTTCGCATTTGCAGCCTTAGAGCGAAAAGCTCAGGTATGCCCCATTGTATTTTGTATCAGCGAAAGGTTTAGGCCCAGCTGAAAGAGCACGTCGTACCGGCCCCTCAGAGCGAAACGCTCAGACAGGGCCGACGATGTCCCCGGGACGATGGGCCCGCAAACGGCCCGCGTCTTGAAATGGGAAGTTCTCCGCATTGTCCACGCGCCTGATCGCAGGACGACAGGCCTGAAATCATGGCCAAGGTGACAAAATCCCCAAACTCAGGGTTGGGCAACGGCAGCCGTTGGAAACCAACCAAAAATCGACGGGACCCCCCTGAGATCATGGACGTTATAAACGAAGTCCAAACTGGCCGGAGGACTATCGACCCCTTCGGCCGAAGCCTGAAAGAAGGACACTCTCTGAAATAGCGAACAAAAAAAGGAGGGAAGCCGAGGACTATGCACACTTGTCGGCCTCGAGCAGTAAAAATAAATCCCCACAAATCAAGCCACACATTTGGCTAAGTACATATCAGTTGAATACAAAGGTAACACTACCAACAGGTAACACGGACGAAGCGGCCACCCGCTACGAGGAAAGTGTCAAGGACGGAGCATGCGCCCGTAAAATCCTAACCAAAGTGGTTGGGTGAAACGAGGGTGGTAACCTTCACCGGCCCTAACCAACTGAAGTTCCAACACTTGGCATGAAAGCCAAGAACCCTAGCTTGACACTCAACACGATCCTGGATTCGAACACCGGAAAGGAGGCCCAGGACAAAGCGGGCACTAAAACACCCGCGGGGAAGTTGAACATATTGGTGGCAACCCTTACCGGCCACAATATTCTTGTCGGCCGTCAAAGGCGCTAAAACCTAGGCGGTGGCTTAAGCTGATAATTTGCGAAGAAAGTTGTCTAAGTGATTTTCAAACACTTAGAAAATTTTGAAGAACATTGTCAAGTAAATGTCAAACACTTAGAGGATATTCTGAAGAAAGCAAATGCAAAGGAAGAAGCAAACACCCGGGTGCAAAACACCCGGGCACCTTCATCGGCCACACCGCCCAACTTGGCCGACGACGATACTAAGCAGAGGAAACTACATGGCCCAACACTTGGACAATCTCCAAACTATTGAATAACGAAGGGATAGTCTCAAGACGAAACGGGCACTCAAACACTTGTAGGTGCCCGCCTCGGCCCCAGCCACAAGCAGTAGTTATCTATGTTCTGGTTTGACACTTAGACAAATTTCAAAGTTGAAATAA